ACGGGCTCAGTATGAGTTGGAAATGATGGCATGTAACAACAACATATGATCGGTAGACCAGATGTCCCCTGCCCCTGCTTTAGGACAAAATAGAACTGCCATAGAGGATTTCCAAATCTTTACAGATGGAGACTGTCACTTCTTGCTCCTGGTTGAAACTGCCAACCGCTTAGTTAGCAGTTGCATGCTTTAACCACTGCACCACCAGCACTCCTTTCACAGACCTACAAAACCCCACAGCCATTGAGTTGATTCCAAGTCACAGCGGCTCTGTAGGATAGCACAGAACTGCTCCTTAGGGTTTACAAGACTGTAAATCTTTACAAGATCAGACAGCCTCATCTTCCTCCCCCTGAGCGGCTGATAGGTTTGAACCCTTGACCTTGCCCATCGCCTAATCCACAGCGCCACCTGGGCTCTACACAGTAAATTCCAGGACATTGTCCAATTTTCACCTGCAGGTGGCGGCACAACAATTTCCAGAAAGCAACATGAAAGGAACAGTATCTCCACCCAAAGTAACCACAAACCCCAACGGAAAGGAGAGACTTTTTGATGATTAATTTGTGCATTCTGAAATAAGTGATGTGGCCAGTTTGTAATGAGCAAATTTTGCAACAGTTGCAGTAGGTATTCATAGCAGGGTGTGCTTTTTACAGCCTGTCTCTTCCATATTCTTTTCAGAATTTAACATTAACGCCACATACACATTCAAAACACTATTGCATCTTCTGTGTGTGTGTTTCCCTGCATAGAATGATCTTGGGCAACATTATCTCAAGTGTCTGAGTCTGTGTTTACAGAACAACAAAAAAATGTATTGAAAAGATATAGTAACAACTGTTGGATTTTTGTTTTGTTTTGTCACCCACAAATGCACCATTTCAGCACTGTTGTGGTGGTTTTTTAATTGTGTACTGAGCGATAATTTACATGGGAGACCATCGGCTTTACACCATCGTTTCATTGCAATGATTACACTCTCCTCTGTGCAGCCCCATTCCACAGTATTTGCTTCCATTCCCTCTGTTTTTCTTTTTGAGGGGTGGAGGGGTGGGGAGAGGTACACAAACACACTCAGGAATATATAATCGTTTAAACAACCAAAGGGCACGTTCTGCAAGCCTGCCTCCTGACCACCAACACTCAGTCTCTCTCTTTCCATGAGTCTAGAGTCCTCAGCTGCTCCCTCTCTCCATGTCCTCATCTCTGCCTCCATCTCTGGTGTTGCTGCTTCTCTGGATAGGGTCCCACATTCCACTAGTGCTCTTCTCCCTTGATGGTCCTAGGGTACTCTGTTTCTGGACTGCATTCAGCACTATTTTTATTTTTAAATGTTCCCTTCTAAATCTGGCCCATATGCATATAATTTTACAGAGACATACTCAGAGACTTAAAAAAAAAATAAAATCAAAAATCAATGCTGCATTGAAAAAGGAAGTCTATAATGTTTTCCTTCTTCTCTCTTAGGCACCTAGAGTCTTCTCAGATCTCACTATTCATTTCCTTAACATCAAATCGCATCACTGCACGGAAGAACAAACACACCTTTATTTTTCGTTAGCCTCCATTCTTTATCCATCCATCCATTCATCCACTTATTCACTCTATGAATCACATTTGTACTATGTACTATGCTGGTGGCTAGGAATACAAATATGAAAAGGTGTGATCTTGTCTGTCCCAGAGTTTGTAGACCATAAGGGGCAGGAGAGCAAATAATAATAATGCAATGAAATGGAAGGTTCCAGCAGAATTTTGGAGAAGGAGCCCAAAAGCTGATTTGGAAATGCAAAGAAAGGGAGAAGGCCAACGGGCGGAGGAAACACCATGTGCCAAGATAAGGATACTCAAAAGATTGGGTACCTTTCGGAAATGACCAATGGTTTAATATTGCTGAAGTATGTATAGGGGGAAGATGGGGGAACGTTGGGTAGCTTGGAGAAGGATTGGGTAGGGCTAGTAGGCAAGGAAGAAGTGCAGCCAGAGTGCTCCTTGGACGCCAGTATGGCTAAGCTTCATCTCTCATACTTTGGACATACTGTCAGGAGGGAACAGTCGCTGGAGAAGGATGTCATGCTGGGTAAGATGGAGGGTCAGAGAAAAAGAGGAAGACCCCCAATGAGATGGATCAGCCAGGTGGCATCATTGATGGCATCAAGTGTGGCAGCGGTAGTGAAGCTGGCCCAGGATCGGACATTGTTTTGTTCTGCTGTGCATGGGGTCGCTATGAGTCGGTTCCGACTTGATGGCACCTGACAACAACAACAGTAGGCAAGGACCAGATCAGTAAGTCCTCTCAAAGGACTTAGATATTATTTTGTAGTTGCTAAAAATCTTAGTTCCCACTAATAGCCAGAGGGACAAAGAATTTTGAAGTTTCTGCCCATGACCCATCTCTGCTTGAGTATCCCAGAGAATTAAGTTCCAAGGTGCCAGCAATGCTGAAAAAGCCCATTATGAGCCTCTCTGTCACTGAGACCGCAGGCCACATTCTTTTTCCCTTTACTCTCTTTCTCCCAGCTGTTGTTGTTGTTGAGTGCCGTTGAGTCGGGTCCGACCCATAGCGACCCTGTACAGGGTTTCCGAGGGTGTAAATCCTTACGGGAGTAGAAAGCCTCATCTTTCTCCCGCGGAGCAGCTGGTAGTTTCGAACCGCTGACCTTAACGTTCGCAGCCCGATTCGTAACCACTACGCTACCAGAGCTCTCCCAGCTAGAACTGGCTTATTTGTGTTCTCTCTTACTGCCTGGTAGCTTCGTGCTTGCTGTACCTTCATCTGGAACACTTGTTGCCTCTCAGCCTGGACTCCCTAGGCAGTGCGAACAGTTAATGCTTTTGGCAGCTTATCAAAAGGTTGGATGTTCAAGTCTATCCAGAGGCACCTCAGAAGAAAGGTCTGGTGATCTACTTCCTAAAAATCAGTCATTGAAAACTCCATAGAGCACAGTTCTACTCTAACACAGAGGATCGCACTATGTATAGGCTTGAAAGCAACTTGTTAACTGGTTATGATTTAGTCCTTCCGTTCATTTATATTTTTCTGGCCACCATTCTAACAGCAGGATAATGCACTGAAGAGCAAGGTTGGTTTAAACTGCAAGGTTGGTGGTTTAAACCCACCAGCCACTCCTCAGAAACCCTATACAGGGTTGCCGTAAGTGGGAACCGACTCTACAACATTTAACAACAATTCTAGAACAGTGTCATCCTAGGTATGGCGGGCAGGAACATAGATTTGGGAAAAAGACAGGTTCAAATTTTAGGCCTGCTCTATGAGAGTTTCCTTGGGTAAGTGACTAATCTCTCTAAGCCTTGGTTTCTAAGTTTGTAAAATGGGGATATTAGCCACCCTATATAGGAGTTATGACTTTGGTACACATCAGATACTAAATAGATGGTCCTTTTGTTATTATCACTTCATATCAGAGATCTTATACTCAGAAACCTTCAGAGGCTGCACATTATTTAAACCTAAGTTATGATTCTTGGCCACTTTCTCATTGCTCTTGCCCCTAACTCCTGGGCTTTGACCAATCTGAACTATTGGCTGATTGATCACTCTTTCCTCCTTGCTTTCAAGTTTTAGCTCAAACATCATGTCTTCCCTGATTACTTCAGCACAAATTATGGCTCCCTCTTTGGCAGTCCTAGATCTAGTTCAGTGGTACTTGAGGTTAACAGCTCAATTTGCAGACTAGGCAACTCTTCTCTAGATTCTAAAGTGCTGAAAGCAGAGGTTCTGTCTGGTTCATCGTTGACCCTGCATAGCGCCTTGCCAGCAGTTGCTGATCAATAAGAATTTGTTGTAAGAATAATCTATCTTCCTTATTTTAATGGACTTGTTTTCTCTTTAGAATCAGTTGTTTGCTTATTCTCATTTCCACACTGTTTTGTTGGCTTCCAGAGAGCACATTAACATTAGATGTGTTCTGTTCTCTCCTTGAACTGGAAAAAGCTTTTGGAACTGAAATGAAATTTCTCAATGTCTCAAGCTTCTGCCACTCCTCTGTTCTTACCCCGCCTCATGCAGGCATAGAATTATTTACCATCGCATTGAACAAGACATTCTCTCTCATGCCTGGTGCCTTTGCCTGGGATGTCCTTAGACTAGCTTTTCTTCTTGGTGAGCTCCTATTCATCCTTCAAAACTCAGCTCAAAAGTCACAAGACCTACTCTATGAAGATCTTCTAAGGTGGACAGAGTAACAACTCTTCCTACCATTCTTTCCCCCTTTTCTGCAGTCCCCAAATAATTACAACAGTACTTATGGCATTATTTGCTTTGATTTTGTTCAACTCCCCTAGATTGTTAAAGTTCTTGAGGGCCAGGGCTTCTTTCTGTCAGTTGTAGCTTCGTCTATGTTGTTGTTGTTGTCACCAAGTGCCATTAAATTGATTCTGACTCTTGGCAACCCTGTATAGGGTTTCCAAGGAGCGACTACCTTATGGGATTGAACCGGCAACCTTGTGGCTAGTAGTCTAATGCCACACCAGGACTCCATCTTCGTCTATACCTAGCACATGCTAGGCACATGAGTCAATCAATTAACGAGTTAATGAGAGCGTTAATTCATCCAACACTGCTGTTTGTATGAATCGGATTCGCAAACATTTCAAGACCTGGTTCTGTATTTGAAGAGCTTCATGCTGTAGCGAGGGTTTTTTGTTATTTGTTTGATTTTTCATTACCATGGTTGGCTAAGAGGGAAAAGAAGAGTGATTATGGTTTGGTAAGAATTACACCTTTAGGTCTGAGGTGTAATTTATCCGTTCACTCGGACACCGAGCAGGTACGTTACAAAGGCTCGGCGTCGATGCCATCCCAGTGCCACCTGCTGCAAGAGGTCTGGAGCATGCGCTCTGGCACCCAGCTAATCTCCACAAGAGGAGGCCGGGTCTCCGAGGCGCGCTTGCGCTCTGGGTCTCTTCCGCCGGGGGAGGGGAGGAGGGGCGGGGAGTCTCGCGGGGGTGGCGTGGGGCGGGGCGCGCGGACAGTTCTCGCGGGACCCCGACGAGGAGCGGAAGCTAGGCGGTTCTGCTGCTTTGGCGACCGGGCGGCTACGGCTGTGGTTGTGGCGGTGCCGGAGACGGCGACAGCGACGGCAGCGGGAACAGGCGCTGCCCTCAGGGAGCAGCAGCAAGGTCGGCGGCCGCTCGCACCGCTCGGAGGGGCCGGCCGGGCCAGAGCGGAGCCGCTGCGCCACGGTGAGTTCGTGTTGCGGCGCTCTGTGCTGCTCCGGCTCTTCTTCCTCTCCGCTCAGCCGGCAGCAGGCAGCGAGCGGCACCGGGCTGGGCCTGGGAGTCGGGACGAGCGTTGAGCCCGCCACCAGAAACGAAATCCCCGAGGCGCCGACTCCACGCTTCTTCCCCTTTTGCGGTGCTTCCTTTCTGGGCACCATCCTCCCGTGACTCGGGGCTCTGGACAGAGTCGAAACTCCGGGGGAAGGGACCAGCGGGCTCCGAGTGGTTCAAGATTAAACCTAGTCCCTCATACTATGGATATGCGCACAAGGGGCCGGGAGAAGCCGGAGAGGCCCCGGTGCTCATCTGTGAGTCAGTCTGACTTCGCTCGGGAGGCGGGGGATCTGGCTCAGGGTGCAAGCGCGAGGATGCTCCTGCGACCTGCACGCCACCACGTCACCATCTGCCGGTGTCTCTGACCCGCATTTTGCGAGGGAATCCACCAACACCTATCCGTACTGGGAGCTAGAACGTTAGCTTCCCGAGTTAGTAGGGTTGCCTTCATTTCTGTCGCTATCTTTTCAGAGCGACTGTCTGAAAAAAAGATGAATCAAGAAAAATAAAACAGCAGTTGGTTGACATTCTCCGAGGATAGATTTCGGTGAGAGGGGAGTCCTGGTATTTGTCATTAGCTACGCTCTGCGGGTACATAGTTTTAAGACCATCTGAGTTATGGCTTGTTTAGAAAATTTATCCCGGGGGCTGACTTCAATTCTATAAACGTACAATTTACAGAGGAGCTGGAGTGTTCTGGAGGCTTGGATCTGGGTACGATTGAATCAGAAAAAGGAGTCCTAGAGACGCACGAAAGAAATTAGCATTAATCTGTTATGTCTTGGCGCTCTGTGCTTTTTCTGTTAATGTCTTCCCTTTCTGTCTCTACTTCTCTTTGCACCGAGGACACTAAATGCTTACTTGTGTAATGCAAGTCACTTGCCTATCCCGCCCTCCCCCCCCCCCTTTTTTTTTTTTTTGACTAATCTACTTTCCCTTCCTCCTTACTGTCCCCTCCCTGCCACAGTTTTTCTTTCAAAAGGGGTTTCTGCCGTTGGGCGCTGGTAGATTTTTCCTTCTGGTATACATTTTGTTTTCTTTCTGGGGAAGAACCTCTCCTTTCCTGCTTTCATTCCTTTACTTTTTTAAACTTCTACTGTGTTCCTTCAGCCAGCCAGAAGGGTTGCTAGAGAGCCTTGTGAGACCGGTTCTCCTCTTGGGAACTGGTAGGTTCAAAGGATTGAATTCATCCGTAAGTAATCGATAGTACCGCCAAGTCACAGGCCTCCTTTGCTTCTTTTACTTGTGTGTTCGTTTTTCCTTCACTTTAAGATCGTGCTCTTGTGCCTGCTTATTTATGCTTTGCTTCTGCCCCTTTTAAGTTTGTAGGGAAGATTGGGTCCATTTGGGGCTGAGATGGCTGCTTTTTGACTTTTAATGGGGGGGGGGGGTGTTAACTGTTGTGTTGCTTCTTCTCATAGGGACCCTGTCTAGGGTTTCTGAGGAGTGGATGGTGAGCTTGAACCACTGACCTTGCGACATGGTTTAATAGGGGTGGTGTTGTTGTTAAGTGTCATCGAGTCAGTTCTGACCCATAGCGACCCTGAACAGGGTTTGTGAGGCTGTAAATCTTTACGGGAGCAGAAAACCTCATCTTTCTCCTGCTGAGCAGCTGGTAGTTTCAAACTGCTGACTTTGCGGTTCGCAGCCCGATTCGTAACCACTATGCTACCAGAGCTCCTTTTAATAGGGGTGGTTAATGTTAAAAGAAATCCTGGTGTAGCTCTGTAGGGTAAGCACTGGACAGCTAACTGCAGGGTTGGCAGTTCAAACCCTCCAGTCACTCCTTGGAAAGTATATTGCAGGGGTGGAATGGCTGGCCCTTGGACCATATAAGGCCTGAGAAATCATTGGTTTGACTGTGCTAAGACAACTATAGTTCCAGTCATCATGTTTGTTGTTGTTGTTAAGTGCCATGGAGTTGGTTCCGACTCAGCGACCCTGCGTAGGGTTTCCGAGGAGTGGCTGGTAGTTCAACCTTGTAGTTCAGTGCTGTATTCCACAGCACCACACCAGGACTCCAGCTGTCACATCAAGGGTGAAATTAATTAAGTGTTTAACTAACTAGCAAGCTAATGTTTAAGTTGATAATTTTGTATGGCCCGAGAATGATGTTATAAATTTTGGCAGAAAAAAGGTTCCCCACTCCTGCTATACAGGGTTGCTATGAGTCTCGAAATGACTTGATGGCACTTGACAACAACAACAAAGTTAAAAATGAAAATCGCTTCTAAACCTGTGTTATTAACAGAATTAAGAGAATGTGAAAACTGTATGGAGACAGAACTGATTTTATTTAGACCGTTGAGGAATCAGTTAAAGTCAACCCAATTTAGGAGTATTAATTTGAAATCCTGGTGTGGCACGGTAGGATAAGCACTGGACTGCAAAGTAGGTTTGAATCACAAGTTTGGTGGTTCAAACTCACCAGCCCTCCTCAAACCCTAGACAGGGTCACTATGAGATGGAACCCACTGGACAGCACTTAACAATGTTATTCTTTATCAAGCTCCTTTCTCTCGATTGGTTGACTTGTTCTTTGCATTGCTTATAATTTTCTAAATCCCAAGATTTACAAAAAGGAAACTAATTTTTGTCATCAGCCTTTTTTTGATACTAAAAGCAATCATTTAAATGGTTGCAACTGTTTACTTCCTCACCAAGTGTACTCAGATTTGGGAGGGTTACTTTTGGGGAGGATGCTATTAATGATACTTAAGAGTTCTTTTCAGTAATTTTTGTCATGTTGGCTGTTGTGCAGCGAGAGTGTTCTCATTTTTACAGAGAACAGCAGAAGCGTAACATATTTGGAGGAATGGAGTAATACAGACTTGAGAGCCACTGGCCTCTGAAGGCAAATTGGTACCTGCTTCCTTCAGAACTATTCCCCTGTGGTATTGAACTGCTGTGAAGACTTTGTGGGTTTTTTTAATTTGTCAAGGTTGTCTTTTTCCCAGTTGAATATGCATTTATTTTCATTTTATGCAAAATTAATTCTAGTATGTAATCAGCAATGCAAATTTTAACTTTTGGTGAAGGGCACCCTTTTATGCAGTTATTCTTAAGTTTTAGCAAGCATAAGAATCACATGGGGATCTTATTTATAATTAAGTTTGGGCCCTAAGCTCACTGAGTTGTAGAATTTCGGGGACACCCGACTACAGGCAAATCAGTCTTAATATGGGGTGATTTTTGATACAGATGTTGTTGTTGTTGTTAAGTGCTGTCGAGTCGGTTCCGACCCATAGCGACCCTGTACAGGGTTTCCGAGGCTGTAAATCTTTACGGGAGCAGAAAGCCTCATCTTTCTCGCGCGGAGTGGCTGGTAGTTTCGAACTGCTGACCTTGTGGTTCGCAGCCCGATTCGTAACTACTACGCTACCAGAGCTCCTTTTGATGGAAAATGTACGATAGGATGAATGTAAAGCTCATGTTTTCCCATGTAAACTATCACATAATTCACAATAAAACATTAAAAAAAAAAAGATAATGGGATTATTTTCATGAAATTTTAAAAGCCCTTCGTACACACACACACACACACACACACACACTCTCACTAGACACTCTATTAGAAATCTGATAAGTGTTTACAGGTGTGGTTAGTTTTTTATGAATTCATATTAAATATCTGGGCATTGTTAGGATTGTGATGTAGTTTAATTTTAAAGTTGATAATCAGGCTGTTAATTTGCCTATCATCGGTTTTTCTGCACCCTTCTGTAGATGAAATGTCTAAATTTGCAGTTTATGAGCACTTGGGTCACTATTTGAACAGGGACCGAATCATGCCTGGTAATGTCTGTTGGGCATTATTATGCCAGAGCCTGCTAAGCCGTGTACTTACTTGCATTATCTCTTGGTCGGAAGGACCTTATAAGGTTAAAGTTGTTATCACCATTTTTCAACTGAAAATACTGAGAACTAGATTCTAAGCTGTTTCTCCATTGTCATCCATCCAGTTAATAAGTGGTAAAGCGACATCATGAATCTAGGCCTGACACCAGAGTCACCATCAAGCCTTTGGGCTTTTGTTTTTTCCTAACTAAAAAGTTGTTGTTAAGTGCTGTGGAGTTGGTTTTGACTCATTACGACCCAGTATAGCAGAGGTGGGGAACTTTTTTTGCCAAAGTTTATAACATTCATGGGCATACAAAATTATCAACTTAAAAATTAGCCTGCTATCAACAGAGAAAAGATTGACGTCAAGGACTTCATTCTTCTTGGATCAACTATCAACACTCACAGAAGCAGCAGTCAAGAAATCAAGCAACATATTGCATTAGGCAAATCTGCTGCAGAAGACCTTTTTAAAGTGTTGAAGAGCAAAGATGTTAGTTTGAGGACTAAGGTGCACCTGACCCAAGCCATGGTATTTTCAATAGCCTCATATTGCATGCGAAAGCTGGACAGTGGATAAGGAAGACCGTAGAAAAATTGATGCCTTTTAGTTATGGTGTTGGAGGAGAATGTTGAAAGTGCCATGGGCTGCCCATAGAACCAATGGATCCATTTTGGAAGGAGTATAGCCAGAATGCTCCTTGGAGGCCAAGATGGCCAAACTTCGTCTCTCATACTTTGGACATATTGTTAGGAGGGACCAGTTGCTGGAGAAGGATATCATGTTTGGTAGAGTGGAGGGCCAGAGAAAAAGAGGATGACCCCCAATGAGATGGATTGGCAAAGTGGCAGCATCGATGGACTCAAGCGTGGCAACAATAGTGAGGTTGGCCCAGGACTGGGCAGTGTTTCGTTCTGCTGTGCATAAGGTTGCTATGAGTCGGTACTGATTCGATGGCACCTAACAACAACAATATTTGGTCAGATATGTAATTAACTCACCCTAATGTGATGGCTGGAGTCCTGGTGCGGTGCTGTGGGTTTGAATTGCAAGCTCTGTGGTTTAAGCT